ATGAGATGTTTTTATTGTGGAAAATAAAGTAAAAAGAGTATGAAATAAACAATAAACGTTCATTCCTGAAGACACAATATGCTTCACTTTTCCATTTTTATATTTTCTTTCATAAAAAATCATCATGGGTGAATTTTCCAGAAGGACATCGCCCGAAAAAGGAATAGAAGAATAAGAAGAAAAACTAATCAAATTATAGGTTAGGTATGTCAAATTATCCCAAATTTCAGTTCTGTGAACCCACCATAATTTGCCCAAATCGGCCAGCATTGTTGCACTTCCGGTCTCCTTGGTGGAACGGTTTTTTAGTATGTTAAATATAGCCTATATCCTATCCAGTAAAATAATACAGATCAGTGATTCATACGCACTTTCCATAGAACTATATAGTGGGATATGTGTCACTTTCCTAAGTAGTCGTAAGAAAAATAAATATCTTTAAGTTGTTATAAGCTAAATACCCCTTTTATAAGTTTACTTATGAGATTATCTAATTTTTTAATATTGCCACAAAGAACGGTTTAACAATTAACAATTAAAAATGTATGCAAGACATGAAATGAGTTTCTCTTTTAAATTTTTAATAAAATAATATATTTTTTATATAAATAAAAAGTTCCTTATTTGTATCGGTCATAAGTTTTTATTTTTTGTTTTACAATGCACAACGTGTGTTTCGGAAAACAATAATTTCCATCTTCTGGTGCAGTCAATATAATTTTAAAAACATCGGAGGACAAAAACAAACAATATAAATTTTTTTAAAACATTCGAAACCCCATCTTTTTGTTTTACAGCGGATAAAGGTGTATTTGAAATATAATTTGGATTAATAGAACAAGTAGGGAAACAAAAAGATGAGTTTTTGCCAAGTTAAAAATTATCAGTGGGGTTACCAGTAAAGATTAAAAATTAAAAACAAATGTTATGTCTGTTTTATTATTTACGGAGTTATTATTGTTTGTTATATGTATCATCTCAAGGATTGTTATTTTATTGTAATTAGCTTTATATTCAAGAATTTTTGCATTCTCAAAATCAAAATAATGCAAATTTTCTAACGCGTGTTTTGTTAAGGGCAGTAGAATTTTCATTATTAGTTAAAATATTACATTTATTGTTTTTTATTCTTTTGTTTAAATATTGTTTGTCCAATGTGAGTGGAATTACAATATATTTGCAGTCAATTTTATAGACAAAATTTGAGAATAACGTTTTTGTTTTATCTATTGTTTGGTTTATAAGAAATTTTTACATTATATTTAGAAAATATTTTTCTGAAAATCCTTTTACATATGGCAATAGTTAAACCACTGTAAAACAAAAAGCTGGAGTTCCAACTATTTTAAAATTTTTAAATTGGTTGTTTTATGCCCCGATGTTTTTAAAATTATATTGGACCAGAATATGGAAAAGATTGCTTCCCAAAACATATGTTGTGCATTGTAAAATAAAAAATAAAAACTTATGACCGATTATATCAAGGCACTTTTATTTTTATAAAATTTTACTGTGGGCAGTAAATTATCCTTATGTTTTTTTTTTGTGAATATGCCGGTCCCATATTTTGTCGCGATAGGCACGTGTCTACAGGGCCTATTGGCCTATCAGCGATTGAGATAGTAGAAATACAATGGATAGTTGAAGATAATAGAAGAAATTTTAAAAAATAAAATAATAGATTGGAAAGGTTATCGATGATTAGCAAGTAATATATGTTTTTCGAATCATATAAATATGTGTTAAGCCGCGTACTCACTTTGCGAACGAAAGCGAATTAACAGGACCGCACGTATGCGTTCGGCTATTGTGTACCGAGAAACGCACGTGAAACAAAGCATGCGTTTACTTTTGGCAATGCTGCACCGGTTGTCGGTACTTCAAGAATTTTACTTCGCATGTGGAGGGTGGCAGAATGCATTCGTTTAAAAATATGGAAATAAACACTCGCCAGTGGCAAGTAAGATTTATGTTTTCACTAGTTTCGTTGGAAATTGACATATATGTAGAAATACACAGGTACTGCAAATAATCGATCTTTATAAAAAAACAAGAATGTTTTTGGAACCCAGAAGATAGTAGGCCCAAAAATAAAATAGCAAAAATGGATGGATAGATGAATGATAGTAAATGTTTTCCACCACCGTCGATTCCTTCATTTTGACCTAATTTCTTCTTCAATGAATATGAAGCACTAACGATTACAATTATTATATCTTGATTATCAAATAACATTGTTTATTGCAATAAAATAAACTTAATTTAGAAATTAAATATGATGACTGCACTGATTATGGAAGACCGGTGCGACAAAATGAAACAAACGAACGAATTCGTGCGTAGCCGTAGACATTCGACAGTGTGGACAGTAATGAACAAACTCACGAGCATGCTATTGCTAGGGCAAGCGTGCGATTCCGTAAGTTCGCTTTAGTTCGCCTAGTGAGTACGTGGGTTTATGCCCTAACATGCGCGTATGTTTGTTCATTACTGTTCACACTGGAGAATTTCTACGCATGAATCCGTTCGTTGTTTCTTTTTATCGCACGGATCTTTCATAATCAGTACAGTGTCATATTTAATTTCATAATTAAGTTTATTTTATTGTAATAAACAATTTCATTCGACAATCAGTATATAATTGCAATCGTAAATGCTTCATATTATATCATATTTAATGAAGAAGTTAGGTCAAAGTCAAAACGGAGGAAACCATGGTGATGGACATCATTATTTAAAAAAACACAGCACGTTACAGTGGTACACATTAATCTATTTTTGTTATTTTATTTTTATGATTTTGTATGTTTTGGGTTCCAAAGATATTCGTGTGTTCTTTATAAAGATCGACTAGATGTGTGTTATTTCATAATTACAATTGGTAAAATAGTAAAATCTCTAAATTATAATAAATGGTGATTATAACTTCCAAAGGGGGTTGAAAATTAAAAAAAAAAATTATAAATCAAAAACGATATCAACTTGGAAATTTTCAGAAAGAATCAGGCTTTATAAAGGGATGAAGCCTATTGATTTTGAAAAATTCTGAAGAAATATGGGGGGCTAAAAGGGGTTGAAATATTAAAAAAAATCCTAACTAAAAAACGTAAAATGATATTAATTTGAAATTCAGCTTTTAAGGGGACGAAGCCTATTAATTTTGAAAAAATCTGAATAAAAATGGGGATTAAACGGGTTGAAATATTAAAAAAATCCTAACGCAGGAACAAAATAGAACTTAAAATTTTTAGTAAAAATCAAGCTCTATATTAAAAATATTAAAAAACATCCTAACTCAAAAACAAAAAGACAACTTGAAATATTCAGAAAAAACAAGTTCTATAAAGAGGATTAAAAAAATCTGATTAAAAGTGGGAGGAAATCAAGAACGAAAAGCGTCTTTAACATGAAATTTTTAGTAAAAATCAAGCTCCTTAATGGGATGAAGCCTATTGATTTTAAAAAAAATCTGGAACCTATATTGTGCAGGTGAAAAGTAAATTGACAATGAATCAGTTTTAGCAGAGATATTACCCAGACAGCACACCAAATCCTTTGGATATCTACTGAACATCCCAATATCCACCGTTCAGATATTTAAAATTAATTTTTTTAAGGTGCATTCAATATCCCATGGACATCCACTAAATATATCAAAGTCTAGGCGCGAACGCAAACCATTGTGGATATCCACTAGATGTTATTTGATTTTGCTTACTAAGTATAGATGGCGATACCACTTTCGCATCTACTCATGCTCGACCCGCCGTAATTGAGTTCGATCGAAATTTGTGTCCTAATCAGACTCCATTAGAGACTGGAGTCGAGAATTTCCATTTATTGCTGAAGAGTCTTAATAAGGACGACTTTCTCCTTAGTGGGCAAAATCAAAGGCAGTGTTGAAAATATTTTGAGTGTTGAAAATATTTTTTATCTCTGCTATTTTCTTTCGACGTTATTCAATAATCATTGGTTACTTATGAAACTCTACTAAAGATAAAATATTTTGCTGAATATCCGAATATCTTCTATATCCTGGGATATAGACGGACATTTGGTTGGATATCCATATTGGATATATTGAATATCCACAAAATATATTCTGTGGATATCGCTAGGATTTCTTGTATTTTCTGGAAGATACCCAGTAGATATTTTGCTGGATATCCATTAGGATATCATCTATATTCTGGATATAGACGGGCATTTGGATATCCATATTAGATCCACGGAATATTTCTGATATCCTGTGGATATATTGGATATCCACAAAAGATATTCTGTGGATATCTCTGGGATTTGGTGTGTTGTCTGGGTAGAGAAGTGCATTTTTTCTGTAAAGACGGGTGAAGTTGGAAATATTGGCTTCTAGAATTTATTGCGTAAGCGCGATAATAACTTTCCTATCTATTTCGAATACATATTTTATTTATAGTTTATTTTACATCAGTAAATGTAGCCAGTTTTGTGTTTGCACCATTCTGCAGGTCTTCTTAGTTTCCATATCTAACTTTTCATTTCCTTCTATCCCACAGTGGCCTTTAACCCAAACAAAATAAATATTCTTATTTGAGTCTGATAACAGGCTCAATAAATTTTTTGAATTCGACGATTATTTCTTGTTTGCTGCGTTTAACTGGAGAGTCTTGGACACACTTATAATCTGATATAATAACCGCCAATTGAATTGGATTTCACTTTAATCATTCTAATGCCTCTTTACTGGCTTCAGCTTCTGCTGTGAAAACTGAATCAGATGAGGTATACTAAACTTTTTAATATAATTTATATTGGAAACAAGAAACTCTGCTTCTGATTGTCCCACCGTCATCCTTGGACCCATCTGTGAAAATGCGTATGGAGTTTGTATCCATCCTTCTCTTTCAATTAATTTATTACGGGCTTTATTGTATATTGCCATTGTCTTCTTTCTTGATGCTGATTGTCACAAGAAGAATTAATAATTCTATTTAAAACATAAAAGCAAAACTTCATTTTAGGCGATCCTACAGTGTACGGAAACCTTAAGGCTGCAAAAGAAACAGTAGAAGCTGTCAAAGCCGTTCTCGAAGATGGTCTCTTCAATGGATACGTCGCGAGTTCAGGTCATCAGGACAGTAAAGAAGCTGTCGCGGAATATCTGTCCCAGAATAACAACGTCGAAATCGATGAGAAAGACGTAATTTTGTGCAGTGGATGTTCTTCTTCGCTCGAACATTGTATCACGGTTTTGGCTGATGGTGCCAAGAATCACAATATTATCATTCCCAGACCTGGTTTTCCTATATATAGGACTTTGGCTGAACATATTGGAGTTGAAGTCAGGTTAGTTAATATTGTAACGTTTATATTTATTTAAAGTGTTAAGTGTTTAATTTATTTTCACTAAAACTTGTATTTATAATTTATAACTTAATTTATTTGTACTGAATGCAACACTAATTTATATTTCATTTACTTATACATTAATTTACTTTTACAATATGTATCTTAACAATACGATATTTTTACGAAAACTGACTATAACGTGCTCCAGACTTGAATATTCTACACGTCTTTCGACTAAGAATATACACCTCCACCATTTTCTAGACAATAGAATTTGTATTTTCGTTAATATTTATCTAAGAGTTCAGAACATTCCAGATTAATGATTCACTACGACTGGCGATGTCCATGGTCGTACCTTAGGAAGGTTTAGGAGGTTGATATATTCGATAGAATAATCATGGTAACGGAGAAAAGATGGAGGCTGCAAATGGCCCAAATAGGTTAGAGAGGGATTTAAGGGATTAGAGCATAACGCGTTACTTGATGGGCAGTTCCATCACCTGATACACAGAATTTGACAGTTTTGCCATGAACGGAATCGATTATGAATGCGATACGTATAGGCACTAATTAATGTATAAGAAATATAAATATGATCTTAGGACAGAATTAAAAAATCTAATAGCCGGTTACAAGAACGTCAATCAAAATTTATGAGGCTGATAAACTTTAACATATCTTGAGATTTTGATCTATCTAAACGACACGAATTTCAAATTGTTCACAGTCTATATAAACACCTGCTAAACTTTATCAGGCAACTAAATTTTAATAAACGTTTTTGCAACCGGCTGTAATTCCATTAATTTTCAGGTATTACAATTTGATCCCGGAAAATAATTGGGAAGCCGACCTCGATCATCTCGAATCCCAAATAGATGAAAAGACGGCTGCGATCGTCCTCAATAATCCCTCAAATCCTTGCGGATCGAGTTTCAGCGAAGACCATCTAAGGAATATACTCGAAATAGCCTACAGATATCGCATACCTGTGATAGCGGACGAAATATATGAAAATTTAGTTTTTCCCGGAGAAAAATTCATTTCTACTGCATCTTTAAATTCTGGTGTACCCATTCTTATATGTGGAGGAATTGCTAAAAGATTTTTGGTAAGAGATGGTAATGTAAGGGATGTTATGTGTAGTACCGCTCAAAAGTCCCCTTTCCCCTTGAATATGTTGAACGGTTATACTAATGATTTTGAAGGGTGAAAATAAATGGTTGTATGGTTCTTTATTTAACAGGTGACGTAATATTCATAGAAGCACTGTGAGCAACAACTTTAAATGGGACCTCAATTGAAACGTATTTAAAATACCTATTCAGTGATAATATTGTTTGGATTTAGAGCAATTTTGATCGATAAACTTAATAAAATTAATAAAGATTCAATAACCAGTTCCTTACAGTAAATGCCATATGCAAAGGTGGTATGTGAAAATTTTGAAATATTACAGGGGACACAATAATTTATGTGTATCAGTTTAGTTAGCCCTTTATTTCATCGAAAACCCTTTGGCTACCACGGTAATATAAACCAAAATGCCCTGGTCCTTGTTCTGTCTCCTGCAGTTATCGGACCATAGAACCAATTTTTGCTCTGTAGTTTTTAAGCTAAACTAATCAGCTTGAACTAACCCAATAAACACAGTTAATCGGCAACGTACTTTAAAAAAAGCTTTATTTTATGAAAATGTATCAACGCCTAAAATGGCTGGATCTTTAAATTCATTAACTATTAAATAACTTTTCTAGAAAAATTTTAAAAATTCTACAATTTTATATAAACAAATGAGCACATAATATGAGAAATAATGAGAGATAAAAAATTATTTGTATCCATCGTTGCTAAAATACGTCACTTTATTCAAAAAATGTTTAAATACCTAGTATACTGAATTGACTATTTTATTGATAAAATATGTCACTATATTCGAAAAATGTTCAAATAGTACTGAAAATGGTACTAAATTGATTATTTTTAACAAAAACGTTGTAAAACTAACAACGTAACACTGATGTACTGAAAAAATCTAAAAAGAACTGAATTCAGTACAAACGTACTAAATTTGGCAGCCCTGAGAAGGAGGCATGCCGGATGCATATTTACACACTCTCCTATACGACGGCACCAAGGTTCTGAAATTTGTTAGCCTTTGTGGCTACAATTACGCTACAAAAGCTCATTGATTTAGGCACCAATGCATAAGGCCTCTTTTTTTTTTTTTTTTTTTTTTTTTTTTTTTTTTTTTTTTTTTTTTTTTTTTTTTTAATTTGGTGTCATCGGCGTCGACTACTACGGCCGTTAGCCTCGTGTTCTGTGTAGGCTTTGTTACTGTTTCCCAGCGCCACTTTAGGAACAGCACTGTTAATTAGAACCCAACAGTGAAAGGTCGAGTGGGGAATCCTACCTATGCATTAGAATTAATATTTAATTTTTTTAAATTAAATAAAAATTCCTGACACCGGTGGGATTCGATCCTGAGACCTTCCGATCTCAAAGACATGACTGCATTCTATGAAACAATGGCTGTACTTAAACTGCCGTTAATAGACATGATGTCATTCAAATGACGCATTTGAAGTGTTTTGGGATTAAAAAAAGAAAATATACAAGAAGAAAACGAAGCAACTACTACCAAAAATGTTTAACCCATTCCTGGCTACGCCTACCGGCATAGACTCCAACGGCCTGGACACAGCTCAAATTGAAAAGAAAAGTCTCACATAACATAAAATGTGTATGGATGTCTAAATCAATGAGCTTTTGTAATTGTAGGCCACAAAAGCTAACAGATTTCAGCACCTTGGTGCCGTCGTATAGGAGAGTGTGTAAATATGCTTACCGGATGCCTTCAAATAGTACGTTCCTCCCGTCTCAGAAGCAACTCCGACAACAGCAATCCGAGTACTCGGCTTCCCAAACATGCCGATGTCAGGCCGAATGTATGCCGACTATTTGTGGTTTACTGTGAAAACATCTGTCATTTGGCACTACTCAGATCAAACAATCAACACATTTAAAAATCATGTCCCTATGAGACCCACATTACTGTTAACATGACAATCCACTGTGCCCAAATGGAATCACACGGTCTAAGCCGAAATCAGGATGTGCGCCATATTAGCTTCGTTAGCAGAAATAATCCTGAACTGATTCAGAATTACTAATTAATGCTTTGAATGCATGCCCCATTCATTATCAATTCTGATTTTTTACCGTTAACGCCAACATTTATTAAATCTCGGATCTCGGTATAACTAATACCGAATCGAATTAGTTTTACCGCGAATGAAGTATTATAACCAAAAGCATTAATTTCAACTACTGCGCATGCGAAAAATTACTATTAATTCAGAATCAGCTCAGGATTACCGCGAACGAAGCTATATTACTGCACATGGTCGTTAACGCATTAAACTAATTTCATCTTTATATTAAAATATTTTTTATGGATTACATGTTATAATTACTGGTTTACTAGACTCGCACATAAAGCAATAATTCTTTATTTTGAAGGTTCCTGGATGGCGATTGGGCTGGATAATTGTTCACGACGAATTTGGAGTCCTCGGTAGCGTACGCAAAGCTTTAAATTCCCTAACTCAAAGAATTATCGGTAGCAATACTTTAATTCAAGGAGCTTTACCAGCGATTTTAAGGAACACGCCGCAAAGTTTTTTCGAATCGTTAATAAATACACTGGCCAAAAACGCTGGAATCGCTCATGATCGTTTTCAAAACACCAAAGGTCTGACGCCGTTTATGCCGCAAGGAACCATGTATATGTTAGTAGAAGTGCAGATGGAAAAATTCCCGATGTTCGAGAATGGGTTACAGTTTGCACAGAAGATGATGGAGGAAGAGTCTGTTTTTTGTTTGCCAGGAGAGGTATGTTGATTAAATACAATGCGTATAACTTATTAATTTTTCTAATTTTAACATTTTTTGTTGAGCCCAGGCATTTGCCATAGTCAAGGTTGTGGGAATAGGAGAAAAATCAATAAAGTACAATTTTTTTTTAATTCTGTGGTTACGCAAAAAATTAAAATTTCTTTCTCCCAGTTCCCCGTTAACTTTGACCCCCACCGAAAACCAAGCCTGGCTACGCCTCTGAATCTGGAATGTTTCCATAATATATTTAACTTCCAAATGTTTTATTTTTATCTAATATTTAATAAAATTTCAGTTTTTACCCACACCCACTGATGTATTCCTTCCACTCTTCACGCCATATATTTTATTATCTAAAATCACTTAAATTAAATAATAGTAGATACTTAGTCTATAAACATCTTTGTTTGGCTCACTTTTACGTCATTGCTAATGAACCCTTTGACACTTTATTTTATTTGCTTGTTTGAACATTTTTCGGAGGCAGGTATACATATATTGAATGTGGCAATTCTGTCAGCATTCTTCACACATTCTTAAAAGTCCAATAAAGTATTAGAGCTGGGATAGCTGGGAGTAAAATAAACTGCTTCATAATTACCAAAGGGTTGAAAGTTGTTTAAAAATGACAAGATGCTCTCTTTATGATTCACCCCGTATAAATAATGTATAGTAAAAATAAGAACAATATATTTCATTATTTAATATGTAGCTTGTATTACCTAATTTAAAAATTTTATTCAAAATAAAGAAATCGTGTATTAATTTCATATTCAATAAATTAAAATCAAAGCCAACCCTTGCAAATGCAGGAATGCCGTTTAATGTATTTCAAGAAACACCTTCCCGCGTGAAATATAAGTTTTCTCACTTTATAGAAAATTTTAACTAAATAAATGCAAGCACTAACTCTTTTCCACTAGCAGATCTATTCGCTCTCATCTGCATAGATTTACTTAAAATACATCGTTATAAATAAATGATGCACTTATTCAACAATTACAACACTCACTATACTTCTTTTACTCAGACGATTGAGAACTCCGCTTACGGCGTCGTGCTCAAACTTCGTCTTCGTGCGATATGGCCATTCTGTAACTCTGTATCTGTAATGTGGAGGATGAGTTAATCCACGGCAGTTCCTAGATCGTGAGCTACCCTGCTACACTGCCACTGTGAAACCTTTATTGATTATGAGCAGTTTATTTTACTCCCAGCTTTAGGAATATTACTGGTTATTATTTTCGAATTAAATTATACCATTAGGAAACATAGTTTTGTGAAAGAACCTTAAATCTTCATTATCTCCATTAAAATAGTCAACGCTAAGTCTATTTTAAACTAATTTCTGAGAATTAATCAAAAACTATTTTTCAGTGTTTTGCCATTTCTGGTTTCTTAAGAATCGTGCTTACAGTTCCAGAAGATGTTTTGGAAGAAGCTTGCACAAGAATGGAGGCATTTTGTAGCAGATATTATACAAAATAAAGATGTATCTAAAATTTACAATATTGTCGTATTGGCCGAAAACTATGGACACAAAAAATTTATTTAATTTCTGTTAGTTTGTAATTAACCATGTTATAAAAAATGCAATTTTAAAAACCGCACCTACCTCTTAGAATAATACAGCGTCTCAGTGATTTTAATTTTAAGGTTATATTGTTTTGTTTACTATAATAAAACGTTAATGTAAGGAAATAAATGTTTAATTTATTTGCTATGCCTATAGGGTTTATTCACAATTAAACCAAATCAATTTCCAATTGTAGAAATACAATAATCATAAAACAATTTATAAAAAAACTGGAATGTTTTATAAGATTCCAAAAAAAAAAAAAATACATAAAAAAATGCTAATCAAGAATAATACAATAGATAGTTACCAGGAATGCACCTTCACCTACATATTTAATGATTTTAGAATATACAAAGTGCACAGCATCGATGCATCCCTAGTACGCACTTAAACAAATCTCATAATTCTCTAAGAAATACAAATAAATAAAACTAATAAATAAATTATGAATTCGGTCTTTGGATTCAAATATAAAAAAAAATTAAAAATCTTTTTCACTCTCCGCAGGAACGCACATAAATAATTTAGCACAGCCATTGTTAACATCGTTAAAAGCTTTATTCAACCAGTACGGTTTGTTCTTCCAACCGATCGTCACCATATACACGGGGATGCCGCATAAAATGAAACCCACACCCACACTGACTTCCACGGGGCTAACGTAACACGGTAACGTTACAAGGAAGGCACATATCACAAAGAACGTGACAGGTAACACGAGATTCACTTTTATCGGTCGGTGCACGTCTGGGCTAACTTTGCGCAAGTATAGCAGTCCTAGAATGCTGACGGCGATGAAAAGAGCTTCTACGAAGGAACAGTAATTTATAAGGGCGTATACGTCTTCCACCATTACTAGAGCCAATGTAATTAAACCCTAAAAAAAAACAAAATTTTATTTATAAGAATAGATGAAACCGAGGCAGGTTGAAACAATCATTTAAATGTTGCAGGGTTCGTTCAACAATTAGCATCACATTTAACAATATTGCTACTGATATTACACATTTACTCTCTGCGGTAGAAGCATTCATTTCTTCAACGATTATGGTATTTTTGTGTTCAATCCTCATGTTAGCTAGTTTCTGAGGATAACTTTTATTGAAATCATCCATACTCATTTTAGAAACTATGGTTTTAGATATAGTTGACAAACTTTTGCAGTAACTACTTTCTTACCCTCCCGCTTGTACAATGTTACAAGTTATACTTCTTCTACTGCCTCAATAAAATCGTACACATCAATTATTGTTTCAAACTTTGCTACTATTACAGTCATTTTGAAAGGGAAAAGTTTTGAGAAATATCTCAAAAAACAAACAGGTATGTAGGTTGGTTTTGGTTTGTACCCAGGGCATATAAATCCTGCCTCTCAACTCTCAACTTGACAAAATCTGCTGGTTGTCGCTGAAAGGTGTTTAGAGACAGCCATCTTCCCAGCTAATCAAAGTCCTGCAGGTTATCAACTCGTCAAAAACCTGCTGGTTGACGCTGAGTGGTGTCTACATTCATCTTTTCAGCTCGTCAAAGTCCTGCTGGTTATTAACTCATCAAAAACCTGCTGGTTGTCGCTGGGGGTGTCTAGGGATAGCCAGCATCTCAGGTCAGTCATGCAAATTAATAATGTCGCCAAGAGGTGTCTCTAGATGCCCCATTTTTGGAAAGTGGGCTTCTACCACCCCGATGGTAAATTCCCGGATGAAGCCATCCAATCCGCCTGTTCCATAGGGAAATTGTGTAATGCGTCAAACGAAAAACGTCGTGGAAAATTGTTTAAAGGTGTGCTGTTCCATCAAGACAATACATCAGTCATACCTCTTGTGTTGCAATGGCTGCTATTCATCAAGTGGGATTCGAATTGGTAGAACATCCACACTATTCGCCCGCCAGATTTGGCCCCTAGCGACTACAGACTTTTATAAACTGAAAGAACATTTGCAAGGTTTGAAGAATTAAGTGTAAGGGTTTGAAGAGGGTTTGAAGAAATTGGAGGAATTTCTTAGGCGACACTCTTGAAATACTGGAGCATCGCTGGGACAAGTACATTGGAATTACGACAGAGTCAAAAAATAAAGTAAGCGGTGAAATTATTATTTTTATTATTTATAGATCAGGGGCCCAAGGGCGGAGTATAGGGATCAACCCTCATATTTTCTTGTCATCTTTCCGAACTTTGTTCGTTATTTATGCTCTGCGAGTTTTCGTAGCTTAGCTTACAATTTGTGTTACAGCTATCTGTATCTGTAACGTGTGGAGGGTGGGTTACCCCCACGACACTTAGGCCTCATTAGGCCCATTGTGCGTTCTCCTGAGATGATAGGCACCTCCTAGCTCGTGAGCCAGCCTACAGATTTAATGTAGTTGACAACGTCGCCAAAAGGTGCTTATCTTATAAAGGCCTGTGTTAGCCGATACTCGCCGAACACAAATCTTTTAATAAATGAGAGCATCGAGCAATCGTAAAGGATATGCTCGATGGTCTCATCTTCTTGTTCGCACCCTCTGCAGAGTGCAGATTCTGACAGCCCCATGATATGGAGATGCTTTCGTACTTGGCAATGACCAGTCAGAATGCCTGTGACTAGGCGCAGATTCTGTCTAGTCATAGTCAAGTATTTGTTTGTTGCAGTGTTGTCAGGATAACTTAAGAGCTCCCTGGCAACTCTGCAGTTTCTTGTTTCATCCTATCTTTCCTTAAATTTCAAAAGGGAATGTTCTTTGATTAGGTCTGTCACTACCGATTTTGTCAGGCTAATAGAAGGGCCAGGTCCAAAAAGTATTTGGTTGGCTGCTTTCTTGGCTAGTGAATCAGCAAGACGGTTACCTTTCGATGTGGCGAGATCTTTGATCCATCTTAAGGTGACCATTGTGTTACAGCTATGTCTTTATCATGTAGCGTATCTTTATTATTATACAATCCTTATCCCGTAATTGGGCATTTGTTTGTCAGATATTTCAATTAAAATATAAAAGGTAAAATAGTGCTCATTTTCAAAATTATAATTACATTAAACTAAATAGACTTACCAACAGTACTAACGATGGTACGGGAGTAAAATGCTTAAGTGAAATTAAACAAATAGCCCTCGGTAAGTGTCCTTCCCTGGCGCCGACGAAAAACAACCTCGACGAAGCAAAAATTGCGCCGTTGAGCGATCCAAACGTGGAACAGGCAACAAAAACGGGCATCAGAAACGAGAACATGCCCAACATTTTATCTCCAAATGTTACTGCTACTGCATCTGATGACAAAACGTCATCTTTACTTAAAACTACGAAGTATGCAATGTTTGTGATTACGTAGACGACTGTTACGACTGGCATTGAGATGCAAATGGCTTTTGGAAGGTTCCTAAAATAGGTCATTTATTAAAATTTTACCATAATACCAGTATAGTAGATTCTTAGACCAAGTAGTTTTTAGAGTAGAAGGCAGCTATAGAGGAAATGGGGACAACTTAGCTTATGATTTCTTTAATATTTTATCTTAAAGAAAATCTCATCGTTGATATATATTTCAGGGCTAATTTGTCAAACTTGAGCAGTAAATCATGGATACGGACAAAAAGGTTTACATTGATTCTGTATCTGTAACGTGTGGAGAGTGGGTTACCCCACGGCACTTAGAGCTCACTAGGCCCATTATGCATCCTCCTAAAAGTTGATAGGCACCTCCTAGCTCGTAAGCCAGCTTACAGATTTGATGTAGTTGAAAACGTCGCTTCTCATATATCGGCCGATGTTGGCCAATTCTCGCCGAACACAAATCTTTTAATAAATGTGACCCCAGGTGCACCGTTCGGTTCGGCGGCATTACTCTGTTTCCAAGGTGTGAGTTCAATGTTGACTTGCTGCCAAAAAGACCTAGGCACTTCACCTTTGTTGCAAAGTTTAGTTTGCTCTTTACAAGCTTTAGAGGTTTTAGTTCCAGTGTCATCATTTTTCTTGTGAAAAGGGCCATTTCTGTCTTCTTGGAATTAATAGACAGTGAATGGTTCTTGCAGCACTGTTCTATAATTTTAAGAACTACTTGCATTCTTTCGCAGAGTATGTTCTCAAAATTCCCTGTTTGCATAATTACCAGATCATTTGCATACGCTATTCTGTACTGTCATTATTGAGGCAGCTTTTGAGGGTATCGATGACCATGTTCCATAGTAGAAGTGATAGAACACCCCTCTCTGTGGACATCCCCTCGTAACCAAGCCTCTTATATTCACATCTTCTACACTTATGTTTACTGCTCGTCATGAGAGCATGTTATGTATCCACCCACTAACCATCTGTGGAAATTCCTGTTGGTTAGTGAGTGTATTATCTTGGGGGAAGGTACTATTGTTAAAAACACCTTCTATATATATGTCTATGAAAACACCCAAGCGGACGTTTTGTTGTCCAGGGATCTCTCTATCCGGCCAGCAACTAGGTGAAGGGCTCAATCACTAGATCTGCCTGTGGTGTATGCATTTTAATTTGGGTGTAGTGGTGTTATTGCAATTACCACATTCCTTATGGGCCTTTCGCATAGCCTTTCCAATGTCTTCATGGAAAACGATGTCAGGCTAATTGGCCGGTATGTTTTTGGGATTTTCCAGGTTTGGGTATGAAGATCACTTTTACCTCTCTCCATTTTTTTGGGCTATACCTCAGAGCTAACAAGGATCTGAATATATCTACCAGGTACGGTGTGAGTTCTTCCAGACCCCACTGAAGTAGGGCTGGATAGATACCGTCAGGTCCTGGCAATTTAAATGGAGAGAAGCTAGAGATAGATACATTAGTTGATTATTCAACTTCCTAGAAAATAATAATATATTGTTTTAAATAATTGCTTTCTCTGTGTGTGTTGATAAACGAAAATCAATGTGCTTTCGTTTTTGTATTTCGCCTTGTTATTGGCCTTTTTTGTAAATGAAAAGTCAGTGTATCCATGGTTACTAATTAAAATGTATTAAAGTTACTGTCAAAAAAAGTAAAAATGAATTTATCCTTTGTGAATAACAGATTTTGTAAATATAATTTACTAGAAACAAGAAACCAAGCGAAAGTAAATTATTCTCGTTGGATATTTTAACAAATAAAATTCGGGTAATTGATAAAATCTTCAATACTTCTTGTATTACCTTCGATAAGGCATTTCTTTTGAGGTTCCGAATACAGCTTTGCAAGATTAAAGCAAAATATGTATGAGATACAGATATTTGATTGTGATAAATCGTTTAGTTCTTAATAAGCACTATGAAAATTCCAAGCAATGCGTTTCGGGCTATAATCTATAATCTTTTAAAATTTCAAAGCGGATATTTATCTACCCAACGTAATATTCAGTGATTTATAGCTGGATAGATATGAACTAAACAGTTCTTATGGTATTGACATCGCTGCCAATTCAGCCATTTCAGAAAGAAACAATTGTTTTAAATTAAAAAATGGCTCATATTAATTAATTAAAAACTTTTAATTTTAACAAATAAAACAAATAATTTTAAAGAAAATAACGATGACTATTTCTATTTAGCAAGGTGGTACACTCCAAAATTTAATTATTGGGACACGATGATGATTAATTTTATGGACAATAAGCATTGAAGACGGCGTGATGCCGAAAGCGCTTTGATTTTTTAAATAAAGGAATGTTTGCATGAAATACAAGTTTTTTTGCTGATCTAAGCTACGTGCATACAGCCGTTAATCTCTTTTAGTTCCTTTAAGCCGTTTGATATTTTTTTCTGCATTAACATACAATAAATAGATAAAGTGGTTCCAATATACTCCCTTGGGGGATTCCAAGATAAATTTGTGCTTCATTAAAGGTAGTTGAATTTATTTTGGTTTTCTGTTTTCTAGGTTAAGATAACTATAAAACGAACAAAGCAGTACCAGTTATTCTATAGTAGCATAGTAATTTTTTATTTAGGAAATTTTTAACATCTAAAAATATATCTACTGTAGATTTTAATAATAATACTACTAACTTGTAGGGATCCTTGAGTTCCTCAGTAACAAAATTCAAATAGTTGTATCCGGAATACGAAAAAAGTCCTGAATAGAACGCGAGCGCAATGTGTCCGGGATCCCAATTTGTACCTTCGATGGGCCTGTTGAAGTTCTCGACATGTCCTGCACATGCGTAGTAAATTCCAGCCACCACAATTATTGCTAAGGCCAACATTTTCGTCGCTGTGAATATATCTTGAACTCTGGTCACCCATTTTACGTTGTAACAGTTGATGGCCTAAAAAAATCAGATTTGATAAACATTTTGAATAACTTAGACTAGGAAGGAAAATGACGTATTTCAGACCGACGAAGAAAACTGACTAAATATCAAAGACATTACAACTAAGATACCAAATTGTTTATATTTTTGTGGCAAATCATTATTCCCACCAGATTCTCGTTTATTGCGTCTTTGCCGGTTTTATCAGTCTGTAAAAATTATTTGCAGAAATTACTTTCGAAAAATAAAATTTGATGTATTCTATAACTATTATTTTATATTAATATAAATAAAAATATGTTTTTAATCAAATTATTCTTAAAAGTTTTAATATAAGCTAATTTTTTTTATTAATAATCAATATTAATCTAAACACAATATTAGGGTTGCAAAGAACTTCGTAAATACGACAACGCTGAATATCTTATTTTACAAATTTAACATTAGTACCTATTTTTATGAATGAAAGTGGTAACCGTAACCAGCCGCAACGTTGCCAATCGGGTCTAACAGCTACTTTGTGTTTCTGACAGTTTATGTGTGACTTATTGATTTATTCATTTATAAAATACTATTTTTGTGAGAAATATAAAGAATTATGGTACATGCATGTGTAGTGTTCAATAAGGTAGATTATTTAAATCGAAATTTATCCTTTCATCGGTAAGTATTTTTAGGTTAAGATATGTTGTTTTCATTTGAACCAGTGGAGTAGGGCACCCGTCTTAAGACTGTTTTAACTATACAATTTCTTGTACAAGATTTGATACAATTTCTTATAGAATTTAAATTGTATAGGATCACATAGTAAATTGTTATAAAAATGATTATCCAATCTAATTTTTCAGACATTTCACTGTAGGTTTGATAATATACAATTTAAATTGTACAAGAAATTGTATCAAAAACTTGTGTAGTCTAAAACAGTCTTAAAACAGTTTTTAAAGTGATATTCCTTTTATAAATTAGTAAATTATTCTTATACCAATAAATAATTATTGAATAGTGGCACAGAAAATTTAACGTAAAATGTAGAATACCTTAAAAATGATTTACCTATTAGGCACCTATACATATTTTTTAATATTCTATTTAGGTTTCTGCAAGATCCTGAGAAAATAAAACTTTGGTTTTCTCTAGTAGGGATCCTTGAAAATGAGCGCCTTCGTAAAAACCCAGAGTTGTGTTCAGAACACTTTTTTCCAGAAGATGTTTTGGTACGTGCAAATGGTGCTAAATATATGAGAAAAGATGCAAACCCCAGACGGTGTGAGGCCTTTCTATTTTTGGATGACTTATCCAACAGGTAAAAATACAAAATATTAATTTTTTTTGTTTACCTCTAAACATTATTTATTACCTATATGTATGTATATCTAATGTATGGGTTTTTAATTCTGATTCAACTGTTTTTGGAACACCACGTGCTGCAAACAAACATTGCAGTAAGTAATAACACTAATAATTAAGCATAAAAAAATTAAATGAAATTTTAGTTAATAAAATTAAGGTATATAATATATTTAAAACGTTATTTTAAACATTTTTAAAGTTTTTTTAAGTTATTTTTTGCCATACCATGTTTTTTTGTAATTATTAATTAAAAAATTATATATTTTTAGGACAGTGTTTTGTTTAGATACCCCTACCCACTTAATGTCAATTTAAAATTTTAAATAATTTTGGTTAACATCATACCAGGCAAATATATAGTAAATGCCAATAAACTATAAACCAATAAATATTAAAAATCGGAAGGTAACTTGAAATCATAATTATATTACTAAAAAAATTAACCTACTTATTTACGTATTTTTTTAACATACTACTTTGACAATACTGCTAAGTTTAAAACTCTACGCCACTGGCAAGCATATTATGGACACTGTTTACAACGTTGCCAGCCGGTCCTAAGAGATCTGTTTTTCTCTCTTCCACTCACTAACAATTTTAAAACAATAACAGTCCGCAATTGTATGGGATTTATGAATGAAACATTTTGGCTCTATGTTGTAATGTCTTTGCTAAATATTGATCGACTGCCATTGTTTTGGTGCCAGAGAAGCCGTGGTGACATTAGTGTATTTTGAGCTTTTTTAACCCAAAGTTAATCAAAGACAGTGTTATTATTAAGTAATTACAATGGTAGTGTGTTCAACTTATGGCTGAAAAAAGAAAGAAATAAAAATTAAAATATAATAGTCAAGGGAGTCAAGACCACTGTAAAACTAGAAATATTTTATAAAATAGTTAATATCTTAAATGATTCAGAAGTTAGATCGCATATAATCAAAATAATCTTATCATAATTTGAGTGTAAATAGTTGATAATATGTTCATTCAATAAAACCTTGAAAATTGTGCCGAATGTACATATCGCAATGGCCTTCAATAAGTCAGTCAAGTTTAGTGGCAGTGGCGCTACACACATTGACTAATTTAAATATAATATAAATTAATGTCGCGCAAAACCCAACCCTGTGCTTTGTTTACTCCTTGTCCGCTGTATGAAGTCTAGCGCTGGCAATATAGACAAACGCACCGCTTCTCGAAACTACCAGAAAAAGCGGTACGTGGCCGTTGAGTCATAGAGATGGAATTCTCGGACATTCGAAATCGTCTAAAAACTACTGGTACAGAACTGGGCTTTGTATAAATAGCGTGAGTTGTCGACGGACGGGTAGATTTAATTTAAGTGTTGGACAGAAAAGATAAATTGTAATAAATAAATTGGAATTGTGAGTTATAATAGTGCCTAGGTATTATATAAATTAATTAGTACGTTATAAATAAATTGTAAATAAAGTATTTTAAATTATTATAAAATGCGGTTTATTTATTATTCACTACTAATTGTCTGTCATAAATTTCCTCTAAAGTATCCAGAAAGAAATAGTGCTTGAGGTATTTCAACTGAGACATTGTTCGTTTAATTAATTTGTGTTTACGCCACTGTCTGAAGCTTAGACAGAGAAATAGTTATATGTATCATGTTTATGAAGAATAGAGGTCTTCATAATCATGTTTTATGTCTGCATTTAACAGTATAACATCTAGTGTCAAATGATCGCATGTCGAATATTTGTATAGTGTCAGGATGAAGACGTCTTCATAAGTGTCAGTCGCGACAGAATTAAAGCCACACGAAACCCTGATATCTTAAACATAATGACTATTTTAATAATTTGGTTGCTAGACTGTAGCATAACGTGTGTCTTTTTTTCCACCGGTTTGTTGCAACCGTTGTTTCACCGATGCGGCCTTGAACGTTTTGTGTTGGATTCTGGTTGACCGTTGAAATAAATAACAGTTGACATACCGCACCGATGCCAACGTTGCTGCAACAGTTGGATAAAAAGACACACGTATACTAATAAAGTCCACTTACCGTCAAAATACAAATCGTCGCGGCCGCTAAAAGCCTAACAGCTTCGAAGGGAGCAGGGCATGTGCCCCAGAAGGGCTGCAGAATGTATTGAGCAAATGTTATGGATGTAATGGCGTTTCCTGTAGGAACCAAAATAAATAACGCCACCCAGAGGTACAAAAACGCTGGTAACGGACCAAAAGCTTCTTTTATGTAAGCGTAATCTCCCCCCGATTTGGGGATCATTGTTCCTGTAAAATAAAAATTAATTGTAAGTAGGTTCTTATACGCTGTTATTATGAACGCCGCAAAGGGGGACAAAAGGGGTAGTTTCCCCCTGGAAAGGATTCTGCACTTTCCTAATTTGATAAATGGTACTCGGTTAAAATTTGGAAATTTCTGAACAAAAGCATTCTATGATTAGTTTTTGATATTGGTAATTTTTTAAAAAGGTTGCCCTTCAAAAAAATAGTGCTTTGATGATCGCCCTAATTCTTTGAAATAATTAAGCATCAAAAAGGACTAAATTATTATATATATTTTTATGAAAAAAATAGGGATTATCTACTCTAAAAATATTTATAAAACATTTTTTTATTATATGAAGAACATTCCAGTTTGGTTCTCTATAATTTATGGGCCTAGGCTAACCATGTAAAATAATAATCGTAGTAGTAACTGAAATAATTTGTTTAATAGTAGTTTATGATAGGACGAAAAATTGAGTTTTTCGGGTGATTACGAGAAGTTTGCCAGGCGAAACGTAGTCTTGGTCGCTCTAACATGGGCATAGGTAAAATAAACCGTTAAAAACAAACACATATGTGTATTTGATAGTTACAATATATACGCTATCTCTATCTGCGGTAATCTGGTATAACCTTAGATTTTTATCTAAGGGTATAACTATTTTGTCACGCTCTTAAGAACCAATCATAAAACAGTATGCAAACGCATGATCCGTTTCTCGACCAGTCATAATAAGTGCACGAGAAGAAGGCGGCTGCACCTATGGGGAAATCTCGAAAAATATTTTCAATGAAAATGGGAAATGTTTGCCACTGCCAAAGTTAAAAATAAAAATATATAAACATAAAAACTAAAAATATATTTTATATCAACAAAGCAGCTATATTAAAAACTTGAAATTTTCGATAAAATTAGGCCCACTGTTGAATTATTTTTGGTCCTTTTAGTATTTCTTTCTCTTCGTTACCATAGATAGGTATCTATAATAACAAATATCAAAGAACTTGTGATTATCTCCTAACAATGAGTTAACCATATTCGGAGGGAAAGGTTAAACATAGCATTTAGTAACACCATTGGCGGCGGAATAACTTTTCTTGGGAGGGGGCTTGAGCTCCTCTTAAAAATGCACTCTTCCATAAAATAAAAACAATATAAAGGGTGTTTATCTATACATAATAATTTTAAATTAAAACATAAATAATTATGCAAATATGAAAAAACTTAAATATATAATATGTAAGTATGTACCAGGTTGATATAAAAAAACATTCAAAATTAAATTAAGATATTTTTTTGATTTTTCTTTGCAAAAATGTCCTAGACTCCTTGAGGGTCAATCTGTTTAGCCAACTCATTTTCTATCTTGAGTAGCCAAGTTTTAATTCTTCTCATAGCCGAAAAACTGTGGCGCACCCGGCGAAGCTAAGAGGAATAGCTATTGCAACCCGTAACAGTTTGTATAAATTGGGTTGGGCATTCGGTGTCACATATTTTTTCAAAATATAAAACTTGATGCAGTGCTCATTTTTAATAATTTTACTTGTAATTTTAATTTCTGTCTCTATATCAATTTTAAAGAGTTGTGCATAATGATGAATAAAGGCATTACCACATTCAAAGGACAAATTTAAAAACCTATCAATACTTTTTGCAAAGTCTAAGTCATCAAATCTTTCCACAAATTGATTTTTTACAGCATCCCTGGCCCATAAAAATACCATTAACCTCCAATGCTCTTCGACATTTGTCCCAAATATTGTTTCTTCATGACCTGCCGAACTTTCTACTAAAAAATCTGATAAAGTTTGTGGAGTTTTTTTTTTAACGTTCGTCAAGGCATAACTCAGTATTCTCTGCAAATTTTCCTACTTTGGACCAAAGATTTCATCTTTCATCTTTTAAAAGCAAAATAGTCGATTAAGATTAGGATTTTGAAAAATTTTACTCAGGGTGCGAATGAAATACAAAAAGCGATACTAAAAAATCTGCTCTCAACAAACTTGAAAGTATTCTTATCGCTTCAACTGAGTCGTGAGCTTTGGTATCAGATATTTCTTGTTCTAGGCATTGTTTGATAACAATATACTTTTTAATTGGATTGTCACAATTTTGGAAATGACAGCTCCATCTAGTCGTACTCATATTTTGAAGTTCCGTAGTTTCGAGACCAAATTTTTTGTGAATGAGCTCAAATATCTTATGTGCACCTGGTTTTGAGTAGCGGCAATACAAACCCTCAATCGCATTAAAAAAATAGGCTGCACCCGCAACAGATTTACACGTGTGTATTATTATAAAATTTATTTGGTGTGCCATGCAGTGCGTGTAAATTGCTTGAGGGTGAGACGTTTTTATTTTTGCTTGTAATCCTGCATTTTTTTCAGCCATAACACTGGCACCATCATACGATTGAGCAACAATCGGGGCTTTACATTTCAAGGACTGTAAAAAACCCTTGATTAAGTTTTCTAGACCAGCAGCATCTCGACACGAAGAATAATCAATAAATCCCAAAAACCATTCTTCTATAGCCAAACCTTTGGCGTATCGGACCACAGCAGTTAACTGTTCACTTTTGTAGCAACGAGCTTCATCAACCATTAATGAATAGAATCCACACTGACGAATTTCATTCATTTTTCTTTTTAAAATTATTATATCTGATAATAATATACAAACTATTTAGTTTTGAATGTCGTGGCTAAGGTATTTCTTTTTTTGTACAGTCACAATTTGGTAACGACTTTAGTAACATACCTACCTTACCTGCTACTTTTTAGTATCAGTGAAAAAGTAACAGTTTGTGAAATATCGCCTATCACTATCAGGCTCGGTTCGGCAGTGTAAAAGTGATAACAGGAATGAACTCTAATATGTATTTAAAAAAATTAAAACCATATTTTTCTTTTTGCTGATTGGTTTACTTTGCTAGAGTGGAGTGAACTTAAAATCTGATGCGCTGATTCGATCTACCTTAGTACCATGGGGGGGACCAAGCCTCGCCATGGAGGGGGCTAAGCACCCCCAGCCCTCCCCCTTCCGCCGCCAATGAGTAACACGTTATTCATATTGTTCTTTTTGTAATTTTTAATATGAAATTTTGGAAAGTAATAGATATGTAAATAACAATGAAGTGGAGAGGAGTAGAATGATAACTGTCAATGAAAAAGTATAGACACTATGCAAAATTTCGTTTTGCATATTTTGTAAACAAGATTCAGGGACGGTTTAACAGCATTTTGGGCAATAATTAATAAAAGTAGTGCATCGGAAAATAGTTAATAAGTATAATTTATTATTAAATCGAAATCAAAGCACAAAAAATCACAAATATAAGCAAGATAACAAAGAATTGACGTCAAAAAAGCTTACAACAGCCACAACACAAACAAAAAACAGAGCTGAACATGAAAATAATCGCTGAACAAAGCCAAGCCTGGAATTTGTTTACTCCTTGTCATTTACGTGTGTACGAGTGGAAGGTTGAATCATGCATAATTTCTACACTCGTGATGGATGTTCAAATGGTACCTTATCATTCTACCCTCTCTACTTCTTTGGTAAATAACAATTTTAAATTTTATACCTAGTGTCACTCTTTCGCCAAGGAACGAACTTCGCATATTTCTATACCGTGTAATGAGTTGGTTCGTAACTTAATGCGTAAGAGGAAAAATGACATTCCATCTCTTGTTGCATGGCGAAAAGCTTGTTCATTTTTGGAACAAGATGTCACAGTAAAAGCGAATTTTGCCGTGATCAGTAAATTTAGTTATCTTGAGAAAAGCTTTATAAACAATAGGTAACTTTCTTACGTTTAAATTAAATAGTTCAAATACTTTCATATGAAAATCTCTACAATGTTCATTTGTTTAACCGGGTTCTTTATAATTAATGGTTATATTGATATTGATTTAATAGTGTATTTTTGGGTTAATTATAATAATTTTATAAAATTATATGATAGAATTTTGATAATTCAAGTGAGTTTTACAGAAAGTAATTTTACGTATTGTGAAAGGTTGTAAGAGGTCACATGTTTGTATCCCTACGGATTTTTTTGTTCCAGCTGTGGAAATAGCAACTTGTGCCATACAATTATTGGGGACAAGGTTAAACGAATATTAGAGGACGTGTTTCTTATTTAGTAAACGTCTTTAAGGTTAGGTTCACAAATGTGTACATTTGCCCTCTTGGAAAAAATTCTGGTGGCGCCCTTGCCTGTTATTAAAAATTATGGAATCACATATGTGTCTATTTCTCTGTAAGTGGAACCAATAATTCTAAAAATTATATTACCGTGGTACATCCGGTTTTACCAGAAATACATATACATAAAAAAATTGGTTTGACAGAAAATTCGGCATCGTTTATTTATAAAAGTACACGGAATATTTCAACCAAAACATAACAGAGTGACGTGTCAACAACAAATAGGTAATTTGACATGGATCATCTTTAGTTTTATTGAATTTCCTTTTATACTTTTGAGATCTTATCAGCCGCTCTCTCAGAAGTGTATGACCTCGCATATCTTAATTGAATTAGGTTCCGTAAATATAAGATGCTGCACTTGACAAAAGATTAGGTACCTACCTAACGTTTGGTTTATTATATGAATACTAATCACCGAAGAATGCCGAATAAAAGAGTAAAGAAGGCGAGTTAAATTCGGCTTTCTTTGAAATCATTAACGGATGAATGTAGGTATTGTTCGGGCCAGACTAAGCTTTTAGAGGTAGGTATGTACCCATACCCACCCATTGAAAATACAAAACCGTTTCTTCTCGGTAATTACATTTATTTTGTGATCACTAAAGTAACGTGAAGAGGCCCAAAAAAAGCTTCTCCATAAAGATGGCCAAGGCTGACAAACACATGAGTCCATGATAACTACACACACCGCTGAATAAAATATAAATTGTCATTTAAAGAAGACATGTATGACATTAAAGAACAATATATCAATCTCATTAATTTCAGTTTGTTTTGTATGATA